TTGAAAACTCGTTTCAGGCAGGATTTGAATTTTGAAATTTGGCTTACTCGGTCGTCTGGCCGGTTGACCGAAATAGAGAATTTTTTTTTTTTTTGGCAATTGGCACTTGTTATTTTTTATATATTAAATAAAAAATATGTTCCGAATTTTTTTAAATTTTTTATGATATTTGAATAAAATTCTAGGTTGTGTGTTTGGTTATAAGTTGTAAATTTTTGAATCAAATATCATATATCACATCAATTATTCCAAACTCAATTCAAAACTCTTTTCAAAAATCATAACCAAATAAATTTTCCACACTCAAATCATAATTTCAAAACTCACAAACTTAAAATACAATTTTATTCTGAAATCATAATTCTAAAACTTTACCAAACGCAACCCTAGTCTTTTTAATAATTTCATTGCGTCCCGTCACTTTTGCATTTCAGTCAAAATCACATGGAGTTTATGAGTACATTTATCAACGTCCGGAAGGTAATGTGAAAACGTGTGAAACCACAAGGGGGTAAAATGTAATTATTCCAAATATAAACAAACCATCTCCCTTTTTATCCCAAAAAAAAAAAAGTCGTCTCCTTATTTTTTACATTAATGATGATTAAAAAAAAAAAAAAACTACTCTTTCTTATTTCCTATGTCTACTTCTATACTGATATAGATAATATTTACAATTGTCCATCATGGATCAAATCACTGTTTTATCATTTAAAATTTTCAACCGAATATGTATTCATTTATTGTTTAGTTGTATTTTGGATACAGATCAATTTTTACTCATAAAGTCTCCATACTCTTTTGGCAATTGGATTAAAAGTCAGCTTATTGACTTTTTTATTTTTTTGAATTACATTATCTCTCATTTTTTTTGCACGTTTTTTAAAAAAAATAAAAAAAAATAAAAGGCAACTTTTAACATATTTCCAAAAACAAGCTCACATACCAATTTAAGAGACACACATAATTATAGTACTAATAGTTAATGAAAAATCACGTGTCACGTGCAACGCACGTACCCAATCAATAATGTAGATAAATAAGTGAACATATAGATAATATTTAAATAAATTAATGACATGTGCACAAATAAGGACATTTTGATCTTTAGCATCAATTGTCCAAAAAATTTTTTTTTCTACAAATCTCTTTCGTTTCTTCAGCCATCACAAATTCAACATCTAAATATAACGAATATTAAGGTACAAAGTGCAATTTCTTGAATACTATGTACGAAGTTTTAAAAAAAATCAATCATTTTAAAAGAGTGTTACTATTAACGCCCCATCAATTATTTTGAACTCTTATTTTTTTAGACTCCTACTTATAAATTGTAAAATCTTTAAAATTTCTTTTCTCCTACTAAATAATATCAAAATTATCCTTATAAAAATATTCTACATATTCAAATGCACACCTCCACACCCCAAAAAATCTCTCTTAAAACCCTAACAAAACCCACGACGATGTAACCTCCCAAAACTAGTGGAAAAAAAAATTTGTGTGATTAAGAAGTTTTTTCTCTACTTCATTACGAGATTTGTCAATCTGTTTGATTTTTTTTTTTCTATTACCTCTTTTCACACACAACGCAATCCATTTTGATACTTCTCTGGTTGGTTTTTTGCCATTCATCCATGGCCTCATTGTACTTGTATGCACTCTATGTAAGCAAAACTAGATAAGATTTCACCCTCCAATCAACCACCCATGGGTGGTCTGACCTTCTTTGTTTGTTTGCTTCTACTCCTGCTTCGGTTATCTATTCTCGAATAAATAAGAAATATTAGGTTACCTGTACCTGAACACATAAACAATGTTCGAGCATGTATTCTCGAATTTTAGTCATATGAACAGGAGTTCAGTTCCAAAAAAATGGCAAATAGTGTTTCTTATTTTTGTCATTTTTTTTTTAAAGAAACTTACTCTTGTAAAGTCAATCCCTCTGAGCTAAAAACACTATCAAAACTATAAACCTCTTTTAAGCTTTTATTGTTGTACTCCTCTCATCTCATGAAATTGTAATTGCCAAAGAAGTGTATGTAATTAAATAGTTACTACCGTTGCCGTCGAAATATTGTCGCCAAAGAGTTTTCAAAGTTTTAAGGGTGGGTAAGTTTTGAAAATGAGATTTGAAAAAAAATAAATAGGTGGTGATAGAGGTAGATACTCTCATAAATCATAACTCATAATATACTAAATATGTGGGCTTAATTATTGGATAAAATGTCTCAAAATTATTAATATCTTTTTTAGTAATTTTATTTGAGATTATTATTGTAAAAAATAAATAAATAAATAAAAAATAAAAAATAAAAAATCTAAAATAATTGATAGAGTACTAAAAGGAGCACTCTTTTAAAAACAATAATGTGTTTAGGGATATGCTCGACTAGCTAAGCAAAAGAACGACCCACATTCCTTGAAGTGTCTTTTTGACCTTTAGGAAAAACGTTCACGTAGTGTTAACATGGCTAACATTCCTTGAAGTGTCTTTTTAACCTTCAGAAAAAAGCTCGAGTTAACATATGGCTAACAACATACAAGTATACAGACAACAAATGATCAAGAAAAATCCTGCCCCCATTAGCTATCATAGAAACGGATTCCCAGATAGCAATCACTGTGTTTGGTTTAAGTTTTTTGGATTAAATTTTTAAAAAATTGACTTTTTTAATTTTTGTATTTTTTTATTTTTAGTGAATATTTTTTAAATTTTAAGTATTTTTTTTACTTTTTTAGATGCACCTTACTTAGATACAAGGTTTTGAAACTCGGACCGGACCGATGGGGTTCCGGTCCGATTAGCTTCTTAAACCGGCCAATTGCAAAAACAGACTATTTATTGAAAACGGTGAACCCCCGGTTAAACGCGGTCACGGGTTGATGAACGGTCCGGCTCCTTTTTTTTTTTTTTTTTTCCATTTTTCTTTCTTTCTTTTCTTTCTTTATTATATATATAAAAATATAAGAATATAAGAAAATTTTAATTTGAAACTCTTTTTTAAGGGTCTCCTCTTGTGAGGAATCCTCATTTATTGAAAATTATTGTGAAACCTTCACCTATTTATAAGAAAAAAATTCTTTCAAAAAGATCAAGAAATCCATGTGGGATTCAATCAAATGTATTGGAGAAATATTGAAATTTTGATATCCCCAAAATTTTTGCTCTCCTTTCAATCAAATTATTTGAATTAAAATCATATGGAGGGAATATTAAATATTTGATTTCATCTTCTCAAAATTGAAATTAATAATATTTCAAAATATAGTTATTATACTTATCTTTAAGAAATATTTAAGATAATTTAAATTTTTTAATATTTTTAATTTATAATTTTATTACTTATATTTTTATTTAAATATAATTTTAATATATTTATTACGTCACGGTGACCCGTCTACCCGATCCTTTTTCCGATTCGTTCACCGATCCGGTTTTTAAAACATTGCTTAGATGTATCTAAAAAGTAAAAACTTTGTGAAAAAATATTTTAAAAAATTAATAAATACATAAAAATACAAAAAATGTACTGAATTCTTGTATTTTTTTTTTATATATTTGGTATTTAATGAATTTTTAAAAGATTTTTTTTACAATTTTTTTACTTTTTAGGTGTATTTATGTTAAGTGTGTCTAAAAAGTAAAAAAATTACTTAAAATATTAAAAAAATTCAGTAAAAACAAAAAAATACGGAAAATAAAAAAGTAAAATTTTCTAAAAAATGTTTTGAAAAACTGGAAATCAAGCATGGTAGTTTCTATGTGAATTTCTTCCCGACCAGGCCAGGCTGAATCAGACTACCACTTGGGATGGGAATGGCTCAACCCACATGCAGCATTTGATGAAGGTACCCTGACCCAGTTGCCTCCTTGAAGTGGTTTATCAACCACGATTTCCCAACCTCAAAACAATGATCCCCACCGAGGATTTGTTACTCGTCTACTTTAATGGCATAAATCGTTTTAAAAACTAAAAAAAAAACAACAACAATACTAAGGAACCGTGATAATCTAGGCCACACGGTTCACTTTTATTAACTTTTTTGTGCCCATAACTTCATTGCAGGAAGGGAACAAACAAAAACGCAATACTACGCATACCTGTACCCAATTTGGATTCCAATGCTGAATTATGAGAAATTTTGAATGGGCCTCCGATAAAGGATATATAATTCAAGGGAGGAGACCGTGGATGATAAAGGAGGAAGTCATCAAAAACTGAAAAGTAACGTTGATAGAAACTAACAAAGCATATCAAGAGGGAATTGAAAGTGAACATGAAAATGGCAAATAAGAGAAACAGTAATTAGAGAAGGTTTTGAACTTGTATAATTCACATTTATATCAGACGAAGGCAAACTAGTTTCAAACGTTTTAAGCTAGCAATTGGAGTAGCTACATAAACATTGTTCATAACACCACTACTCCAAAGTTCATTATAAGTTTCAAGTTTCAACAAACCAACGGCAACAAATTCTTGTGAAGTGAAAGCTTTATTGAACACAGAAAAAACTGGGATACATGGTCAAGATATGTTCCTTGCACTGCGCATCACCTGCAAAAACAAGCATTTTGAAAAGAAAAAAAAAATCAAATTTGGGAAAAAATATAGCTGCTTAAAGCGAGAAACGATGACAGGGGGAAGGGAAGGGTTTAGTAAGTATACAATTGACATAGCACATACACTCTTTGGTTTACATGATCAAAACACGTCCCAATCCCAGTGTGCATAGAATTTTGAAGGCCATTTCAAATTTTCAACATATGACTAACAAAGTAAATCCTGCATTCCTCCTGTGTGTGTATTTTCATGCTTCAAAAGTGCTTGTACTGTTAAGGGAACTAACAACGACTGCACAAACAACAGTCTGCAGGTAATATGAATCCTCTATAAACCAAATTCTGAATTACAAAACACAAACAAAAAGAATCTTTACTCCTTAATTTACAACCATAACCCACCAGCTAATGTTCAGACTTTTTTTTTTTTTTTTTTCCTTTTTATCGGCATTCAGACTTCTAACCACTAACTCTAAAAGATTGAAAAGAAGAAGGGAAGAAAACAACAGATTAAGAAAAAGTAAGCTCTAATAACTGTTGTCGAACAGAACAAATATAAAAAATAGCCTTTTATTGACTAGCCAAATTACCATCAAAGTTTACACTGCCAATGTATATCATCAGACCATGAGAGAGTAATAAACTTCTACTATAGCTTTTACATCCATTATGCGAAATTTTACATCTAAATTGATGGAACCAATGTAATACGATGTATATGAAAGTAAATCTATTATTCTGATTTTTATTTTTATTATTATTATTTTGGTAGGACAGGAATAAAGGAAGGAGAAGCTGCATCATGCAATAGTAAGACTTGAACCATAGGCACCACACTTGGTAAGGGGAGCATCTCATCCACCAAGTTAGCTCGTGGTCTTAAATTTTAAGTGTTAACTAAAAGGCCTACAAGTGATTACAGGCAGAGAACCTTGAACGATTCAATATAATGAGAAAACAGCACATGCTACAATCTCACCCTAAAATGCATCTCACATTAAGAGCAGTTTTCTCCTATACCCCAATCAGAACTTATAAAAAGTGGAAACACCTAGTTGCAAAAGGTCAAAAAGCACAAACATCAAGAATTGCAAGGACCAGCACTACTTGATCATAAATTAAAGAGAACAGGGTGTTAAGGGTTGATTGTAATGTAAAAAGAGCAGGAAGTTAAGGAGTGGAAGCAAACTGCATCAACCAGAGTTTTCTAATATACAATATCCACTATGGTTCCACTCTCATCTGAAAATTTCAGGTACTGCGGTTCGTGCAGCACATCAGAACAAGTTATTTGTTCAAACTTCAAAGCAGTCCTCCAAAAGGTCTTGATAGACCAGCTTCATTCAGATCACACTGTTTTAGGAATAACTCAATAATATCACAATCTCAACAATAAACATGCTTGACCTCGCATAAAAACCTCCCTTTTCCCGATTTGTTTTCACGAACACAAACATGTTGAAGGCAAAAAACCTACTACAGTTATTTCTATCTTTGAATCCCGCTGCTTCACCGTTACAAAAGAACAGATCTCTTTGTTCACATTGTAGCGTTGCTCTTCAGAGCATCTGATGTTAGCCTAGAACACCCTCAATCAGTCATCTTATCCAGCAAGAAGTTAGTCCAACAAGCTGCAACAGGGTGAATGACTTTAGTACTTCACCAGATCATGTCTTCCATTGGTCCATGTTAGTGTGATATTATCAAACCTTAAACACTAGAATAAATAATTGCAGAAGCACCAACATGCTACTTATTCCCACCTAAAAACATAAAATGAACAATTGAATAAATTGAACCATTACTTCTACTAAAATCTAAGATTTAAGTCTGAGCCATCAGTAAATTCCACATCAATAAATTGAATTCTCACACTCATGCATACACAAAAGTTATCCAGCACTGAATCCTTCATTATAAGATACATATAATGTTAATTTAAGTAAAATGGCCATCTAATAATTTCTTGACGACTAAAAATAGTTTTATATATCAACCATCCAACACAGTCCTTTTGCAGAATTATGCCTTTTCATCTGAACCCAAATTAATCAAGTGATCAAACCATAACATTGGCAGTCTGAATTAGATGATTTGTTTGCCACCATTTTGGCAGCACTAATCCCTGAATTTGAATTTTAACTATTTGTCTAAATACATGACAATTATGCCTACACAATTCAAACTAAGTGTTCAGATTATGATTATCAACTGCCCACAACTCAACACTTTACCCTTTTTGTCATTTTATCTTTAGTTAGTTACGTAGCAAAATAAGGAGGACAGGACTAGAATACTTAAGTCTCCTAAATTAGTGAATGGTGATTCCATTTGCAATTTATATTCTTTTCTTTTTTCACTGAAGCAAACATGGGAATGGTATTTCGACTGAATGACGATTACCATTCCATTCTAGACAAGGATTGATTGAAGAAAACTATACACACATAACATATGAAGATAGCAGTAATGCTAAAAATTTGGCAGACACATCAAACAAACAACAGGATAACGATATTCGTAACAAGAAATTGGGGCATGGCCTTTTGGCAGCCTTGGTTTCCAACAGACAGAAATGAATACACCTACGAGGTCCAATACAGGATTCAAAGACGAATATACATACAAATACAGACAAATCAAAATATACCCAACACAATTTAGACGCATTTCTCTATAAGAGAATTTCCAATCCTCCATCTTATTTTTTTTCCCCATCAAATTTGGGTAAATCTTTCTAACTAAAAGCATCTCCAATTCTTCACCTTTTCTTTCCTCAAATTTAAATTTGATGGGAGAAAACTCAAAAATCATCTCCAATCCTTTTATCAAATGTAATCAAATTAAGGAAGAGCCATTTTTTTCATCAATTTGAGAACTAATCAAATCCTTCATTAAATTTGAATCTGATGAAAATTTAAACTGATGAAGCATTGGAGATGATTTTTTTTTTTTTCCCATCAAATTTGATGAAAAGGGAAATTTGGAATAAGAGTACTTTTAAAAAATATTTTGATGAACGGATTGGAGTAATTCATATCAAATCATGCTTTTTACTCAAATTTGGTATCAAATTAGATGAAAATTTTGGTGAAATTTGGTATCAAATTAGATAAAAAATTTGGTGAAGGGTTGGAGAAGCTCTAAAAGCTCGATTTGATATGGGATACTCCAATAGCTTTTCATCAAATTTAACTAAAAGCTTGAATTGGTGAAAATCTTGAATGTTCCAATCCTCACTCACTCAAAAATATCATCGAATTCTTTTCAAAAATTCCAAGCGTAGGCCATCTCCAACGTTTACTCATATCTTTCATCAAATTTCAATTTGATGAAAATTTGGTGAAAACGGTGCTCCAATCCTGTCATCAAAGTGATAGCAAATGAAGGAAGCGACAAATTTTTCATCAAATCAAGGGAGTGTTTAACCTTTCATCAAATTTCGAAATTGACCATTGGTGGATGATCAGGTGGATGACCAGTGGACAACCAGAATTTGATCAAAATTTACTCTCCGCCGGACGACCAGCAGAATTGATGAAAACAATTGGAGTGCATCATATCATATCAAACTTTTACTCAAATTTGATGAACGTTTGGAGATGCTCTTATCCCCAAAAGCCACTTTTGTCAAATTTGGTGAAAACTTGACTTGAAAGAAGTTTGATGAAATGATTGGCGGCCACTTTCACCAAATTTTTCATCAAATTAACGATTGGAGATGCTCTAAATAGCCATACACATACAAAAAAATAAAAACACACATAGATAATCATAATTGCATCAAACCCTAATTTCAAACAAAGGAACCCAAGAACAAATCCATATACGAATCAAAAGGCAAGTAAGTACCTGAAAGACGTTGATAGATCTTTGGCGGGGCTTCTTAGTGAGTGTGAGAAGACGATGATGAAGAATGAGAGTGTGAGTGGGAGTGCGAAGGAGCATAGATCTTGTTGTAGGCGGTTTCGCCGACGAGGTAGATGCCGAAGGCGACGAGAGCGATGCCGAGGCCAGGAGTGGCGTGGCGGAGCTGGTTCGTCAGCATCGGGTGCTTCCTCCACTCGTCCCTCCTCCTGAAGAACTCCCCTGTTGGTCCCAATGGCTTTCCCATTTCTCTCTCTCTCTCTCTCTCTCTCAATGTGTGCGTGCTTGAAGGCTTGTATGAGTATGATGTATGTTGTTGATTGTTGGATCGGAGAGAGAGAGAGAGAGGGCTAAAATTGGTGTCCTCAAGTTGGACTTTACTGCCCAGATGGGCTGGACCAACACCTTGCCTAGTTCACAAATTTTGGGTATGGCCCTAGGAGAATTTAGTGCAAATTATAATACACTTTGTCCGTTTTATGTTCGACTTTTAAAGTTTTTTTTTTTTACTTTTATCCTTCATATTTTAATTTTAATTTTTTTAATTTACTCTTAAAACTGATTTATGTTTAAATTTAGACAAAAAATTTCACATTAATTGCCACATAACATAAAAAAGAAATATTATTATAAAGATATTTGAGTTTTGAATCATGTGACTGTTAATGTGTCATTTTTTTTAAGTTTAGATAACTTAGCTTTTGGAATAAATTTAAAAAGGGAATGGCTTCCCTCTAGTCCAATCACAGATTGGAGAGTACTGTTGGGCCCGTGGGAGTCCACCACAGGTCTCATTTCGATAATCCGAACCGTTAAATATGTACAACTCGTTGAGTAATATATGCCTATAAAAAATCACGTTGATTGGATATCGATAGTTATGTGATCAAATCAGTTTTGTATTAAAAAATATTGGACGGTGAAAAATAAACGTCTTATGAAAATCTAATTTAATCACATAGCTATCAATATCCAATCAACGTAATTTTTTAGAAACATATAGTACTCAACGAGTTCTACACATTTAACGGTTCGGATTGTCGAAATGGGACCCGTGATGGGCCCCCAAGGACCCAATAATATCCTCTAGTCTGATCACGGATTGGAAGGAAACCATTCCCATTTAAAAAAACTTGAAACATGAAAGACCAAAATCGAAAAAACAAATTTTAAGGGTCAAAGTAAAAAAATATCCAAATATAAAGGGAACAAAGTATAATTTATCCTAAAAATAACTCAAAATAATTGTAAAAATATAGATATGTAAATGGAATATACATATATAATCAACTGGGCTAATTTAGTTGATCACACATAAAGTCAATAGACAATTCTTATTATATGAAAATATTAATAATTTCTCCATGAGACTTTATTGTATAATTTATTACTTCCTTTGTATGGGCTTATATATGTATTTCTTCCTCTATATGGGCTTATATATGTATATTGGATTATGATTATCCAATTATAATTATATATTGTAAATACTCTTACCCATTTAAACTATAAAAAAAGAATTTAAAAAAAAAATGAAATCTATATGTACAAGTGCAAGACTATAACTCATTCTACTAAAACACATCACCTCTCAGATCATATTTGGTACGATAAAATTAAATGAAATAAGAATAGGATGAGAGTGAGAAGCAAATATAAGGTTGAGTGAAATAAATGTTATTTGGTTGCCAACATAGAATGATATAGGAATAGGACAATAATTCTCATTTTCATATTTGGTTATACCTATTAAACTAATGGAATAGAATAAGTTTTTATTAATTATTTATTTTTTTAATTAGGTAGTAACAAATAAATTAAAATTTTATATAGATCATGATTAATAATTGTGGAAGTGATGGTGTGAGTCGTGGTGTGGTAATGGCAGCGGTGATGGCGGCAACATCGGTAGTGGTAATAACAGTGGTAGTAAGATGTTGGTAATGGTGATAGGAGGTCATTGTGGCGTTAGCAATGATAGTAAGATGGTGTTGTGGTTGTGGTTGCAATGGTGGTGGTGGTTGTGGCGACGACAACGGTGGACAACGACAGTAGAGTGGTGATTCTCGTGATGATGATGGTGATAGTGGTGGCATTATATTTGTGAAGGTAGTAGTAGTGGTGGTAAAGTAGTGGCAGCATCGGTGGTGGTGGTGGTGATAGTGGTGGCGATAATGGTGGTGGTGGTTGCTAATAGTGGTAGTAATGGTTGTGATAGCGATAGCGACGACAGTGGTAGTAGTGGTGTGATGTTTGTAAAGGTAGTAGTAGTAGTGGTGGTGAAGTTGTAGAGACAGTGATGGTGGCGGTGATAGTAGTGGTTGTGGCAGTGATTGCAGTCACTACAACAAATAGCACTTTTTGCGACTAAATTTTTGATTGCCAAAAGTTAATTTTTAGTTGCCGAAACTTTTTAGCAACTAAAATTTTTGGTCACCACGTTAATCGGTGACCAATTGTCGGGAAAGGTTTTGGTAACTAAAAAAAATTTAGTCGCTGAAAGTCATCAATTGCCGACTAATTTTTTAGTCACCAAAACCTTTTCAAAAAAAATTAATATCGCATTTTCAGCGATTAAAAAATTTTGTCGCCAAAAGCTAAAAGTATTTAGGACAACTAAAGTTTTAGCCGCCAAAAAGTTTTCATTGTTCATCTTATTTTTTTTAACTAATAAATATTTTAGTCACCTAAAATCTGATTTTGTTTTTGGTGACTACAGTTTTAATCACCAAAAACAAATTTCATTTTTTTTTTTTATCTACTAAAGTCTGCTTTTTTTATGGCTACTAAATATTTAGTAGCCAAATTTTTTTTTTTAATTTTATTTATTTATTTTTAGCTACTAACTATTTAGTTGTTAAAAATATTTACTTCCTTTTTGGCTACCAATTATTTAGTCGCCAAAAACATGATTTTATTTTTTTTAATTATCTTATCCACAACCTGTACGTATTCCATACAACCTGTACCATGTATATAAATAAAATAATACATATATTATCAACTTGTATGTATTCCATGTAGCCTGTACCATCTATTTGTTTTTGTTTTTTTTTTTTTTGAATAAGTCATAAAATAAAATGATAAAATATGCAAACTTACAAGGGGCATATCCCATGCATACTTGTGTAGTTCTTTATGTATAATTGTCTAGTTCTGTTTTATTAGAAATGTCATGTCAACTTGTGCATACCTTGTCCCAAGTTCATGTAAATGTTGTATAGGAGGTTATAAACAACCTTATATCTTCTTAGATTCCTCATACTAGATGTGGTTCTTCTTTTTTTAAACATCACTTGTGTTTTTTGAACATGTGTAGTTAGAATTCTGGTTCATTTTTCATGTGCAGTTCATATATCTGTACAACTTTCCAGGATTTAATGCTAGTTTCTGCAATTATCATATTCATAACATAACTTTAGCCAACAAGTTAATTTTCAGCCAAATGAATCATACAAGAAATTTTGTAACTTGCTTCGAATACGTCCATCCTTTTGCAACTTGTTTCTCAAATGACGAGGACATAGATTGTACACAGGTGTATGGTTGTGCTAGGTGGTTTTTGTAGAGTTCAGGCTAAGCAAAAATTGATTTTGTGTGCAGATCCTCAATATCAATTTGTTTCTTTTTTAAATGCCCCTTGTATTCTTGTATGTTTCCTTGTTTTATTTTATGACTTATTCCCCAAAAAAACAAAAAACAAAAAGACAGGTTCTTTTGCCGTATGAAAGTGCATATCCTCAATATCAATCCTTATTTATTTCTAACCTAGATAAAATGAGGACACTATATGTTGGCAACTCAAATATATATTAGCTAAAACTAGTTCATTTTTTTCTTTCTTCTATCATCATCATGCTTCAGCATTGAATCATAACTAAATCCCTCATAACAAGAGAAATGACATGCCAACCCTAGTAATATGAACTGTCTGCCCTACACAAGGGTTGATTCATAACATGCAACAGGAAAACATGTGCAAATAACTTCAAACTAAGACGCCAACTCAATCTTCTAAGCAATTATAGGCCAAAATAAAGCAAATATGAACTATCTTCCCGTAACAACCTTGATCTGTGATTAGCCTATAACTTATGATTAAGAATGCCCAATAAGTAATTAAAAAGAAATTCTGAGTTAATTACATGTGTGTTGCATTATTTGTGTTTAGATCTGTTTGTTGTGGAAATATCTGTCTGTGTTTCTGCTTTTTAATACGAATTAAAGGCCTATTGACATCCGATCCCAAAATTGACTCAGTATATTTGTTATTTAGAATTTTATGGTAGATTCAATTGAAATTCGATTCGAAATCAAATAATTAAAATAAAATAATGCCAATTACATAAGCCTAAACCAAGCTTAATTAGGGAAACCTAATCAAGCCTATATAAGGCAACTTATTGACTTAAGAGCATTAAAGACACTTTCATTTCCTCATCTTTTGGCTCAAACGTGTGAGAGAGAAAGAGAGACCAAGAGAGAATTGAGATTAAAGCTTGGAAGGGAAGAATCTCTTGGGAATTTTAAGGTTTTGACTTGGAAATTCAAGCAATTGGACATCTAGAACACAATTAAGCTTCTAAGGTAAGAATTCTAGCCCTTAGTCTTGTAAAGTTGGTTAATGCATAAAGTCAAGAGAATTAAGCTATAAGATACATGAATGATCTAAGCAAAGTAGGAACATGTACATTTCATGGAGTTTTGAGGTTATTTTCAAAAGAATTCTCTCATGCATGTGATAATTCTAGCATGGTTTTAAGAATTCATCACAATTCTTACCATTTGGCCTCAATTGATCATGCTTTGAAAAGTTAAAACTCATATCATTACATGCAAATCATGTTCTTTACGTTTCAAGTTTGGTTTTGCATAATTGACTTGCCTTTAGGCTTTGATTTTGTGAAATGATCTTCAATTCATGATGTTTATATATGTTTTCCCAAGTTTTGAGCCCAAAATGATGTGTTTTGTTGGTTTGAAATTGAGTTTTGAAGCTTGGACATCGATTTGGAAATTTCAGAATTTGCACCATCTGCTCGAGTGGTGAAGTCTGCACTCAAGCGGAGAATGCGAGCTCTCAGTACTTTTACAGAGTTTGGGGGTTGGCTCGAGCGGCAGGATCTGCGCTCGAGTGGCCACCCTTATTTTTGACCTTCCGCTTGAGCGACCGAAGTTGCTCTTAAACGTAAAATGAAAGCTCCCAAAAGTTTTACAGACTTTTGCAAACCGCTTGAGCGTAAGAAATTGCGCTCAAGCGGAGACCCTTTATACTCAGCCTTACGCTCGAGCGACCGTCGAGTGTCTGTCAAGCGGAAAATTCAAGTAACCAGTAC